CAAAATACATATATTTTTCTCCATGTGTACTGTATTATGTTTACAAACACGATGCATATTCATTTTTGTATAAACAAGGATAAATATAAAGATATGCATGTAAACTGATGCAATAAATCTTATTAGACAGCTTAAAAGTTTTAAAATGTTTGCCAGAAACAACATAACAAAAATTAGGAACACAATAGAAAAACTAAATATAGAAACCTAGCTAAGTATAATACTCAAAACAGAAAAGATTCTATAAAATTACTGTATGATTAAGGTAGCAAAAAATCTAAGGAATTCACGCTCTATTTTCAAAACTAAAAACATTCCATGAAGAAAAGAGAATTACAGAAATCTGGATTCTATTACAAAGAAAATTCTCTATTTCGCCCTATGTTTCATTTATAAGTTGATATAATCTGATATAAGATGGAAGAAATGGAAAATATTTGCAAAAAATGTGGTTAGAGAATACAGCAATGAGAAAATTGTTAACACTATTGGTGTTAACTCTAAAAATAATCTAACATATAGCAACAATTACACTGTCAAATGGAAACATTTCCCAAGCCCAGCTGTTCACAAGTCTTAAGCACATTGTCCTCATGGGTCAGTGGGGAGTGAGTGAACAAGTGTTTATGAGTTCCAATTAGGAAGTACGGTAATATCTACACTGGTCATTTTATTTCAAATCAGATTTTAAACCATTTATGATTTCTCCTCACAAAAATAAAGGCAACCTTTAGATTGAACACTACAAAATTCTGGATTAATGAAATCTAAAGTGATAAGGTTTAAAATTACCTTTAAAGTTATGATTTCATGTCCCACAAAAGAAACATCAGACTACTACTTTTCAACTGTGTACACATACACCACCCAATTTATGGCAAATAGAAGCTGCCTTGAAGGACTTGAAGCTTTCAATGCAAATATAGATATGTCAGCTGAGCTCCCTGTCCTAAAACTAAAATAACTTAAAAAAATCATTACCCAGAATCATTCTAGAAATGTTGAGCTTTTACTAGAAACTGACCAATGTTGAACAGATTCAAAACTAGAAACTGAGATCACTCACCTATAAAATTTATTTTACTTTTCAAGTCCAGGGGTAAACGCTATGTTTTTAAGTTTATGTTTGAGAATGGAAATGTCAGTAACATTTATTAGCATCCTATATAATAAAAGGCTAATCTGCAAATCGACCAAATGGTGGAACAAACGGTCACTATGATGCACACTGACCACCAGTGGGCAGATGCTCAATGCAGGAGCTGCCCCCTGGTGGCCAGTGCACTCCCACAGGGGGAGCGCAAATCAGCTAGAAGCCGGGCTCATGGCTGGCGAGTGCAGCAGTGGTGGCGGGAGCCTCCCCTGCCTCTGCAGCAGTTGGATATACCCTGAGGGCTCCCGGACTGCAAGAGGGTGCAGGCCAGGCTGAGGGACTGCCCCCATTCTCCTCCCCCACCCCCCGCAAGTGCACGAATTTCATGCACCGGGCCTCTAGTACTATATTAAATGATCTGAGTTACTAGGTCTGGACCTCTGAGTAACTGGCTGGTTCTGCCTCTCGCAGTAAGATTGGCAGTAACTTAGAAGTTTCTCTCTATAGAACTTCTAAATAGTGCTTGTTAATATGATGTCCAGACTACATATATTTTTAATTTTCAGGTGAAAAGTTCAATTTCAGAGAGTCTAGTTGGAATTTGATGATATTATACTAGGTCCAAGTAGAAATCCCAGTTTTCTCATAATTACTAGAAGTGCTGATTCATACTTACATGAATCTGCCTGCTACTTAATGGGACAATGGGAAAACTTTTCCTTTCAATGGTAGATACAATCTTTCAAAATGAGGTTCACAGGTGAAAATTTTAAAAATAGCAGTTAGTATAAAATACTAGAAACTACTGTTCATAGATCATTAAAAATAAGAGGATAAAACCATAAAAGTTATAAAAAACATAAATCCAGTCAAGCTTCAACCCCTACATTTTCTACAAAGTCTTGAATAATGTGACCTACTCACCATGCACTCACTTCACCCCAGATGTGCTGGCTTCTGTTCTGCTTCCTCCAGAACTCCTTCCCACTACAAGTCCTTTATACCTGCTGTTCTCTCCCCTAGGATGTTCTTAATTCCTTGTCTGTCTGGAACTTTCAATTAATCCTTCAGTTCTCAGCTTAAAAGCGACTTCCTCAGGAGAGCTTTGCTCTTAATTTTCCACTCCCCACTCTGCTCTGGCCTCTTATCTGTTGACTATAACCTTCATTGTACTTACTGGACTTAACTGTACATTGTTTCATAACTACAATTAAGTAACCTTGTGTTTGATATCTTTTTTTCCAACTCTATACAGAAAACCCTATGAAAGTATGATTGTATCTGTATTATTTGCTGCTATTTCCTCAATGTCAAGCATATACCAGGAAATAAGACATTAAAATAAATATAATTTTGCAATGTGCTCTTGCACAAAGTAATGGAAATTAATCTATCTCACACAAAATCAGGATTCTATCACACATTTGTGAGAGTTTAACAACTGAAGAAGCTGTTGAAACAAGATTTTTCACAATCTTCATTCCCAAATGCTCTAAATCTTTAACTAGGTTGCTAAGCTGGGGACATGGAGTGATGTTCCTTGAAAATATTCATGGAATTCAGTGTGGCAGCTAAGTTTCCTGGATGGAAATAAAATGAGGCTCTCAACCAAAGCCAACCAGCCTTCAAATGAATGAGTCATAAGAAATTATGACTAAAAGGCCACCCAAGAAGAGTATGTAATAAGAAATTCAACCTATGTTCATTTGAATTTTGACAATTCACTCAACTTCAACTAAAACAAATGCTTGATGAATGGGACAAAGATATGTTCGTTTGTTTTTTTAAGGTAAAAACTCAGGAGAAACCTCTGAGATGAGGATTTCCCAAGACGATTATGAATTTTGAAAGTATGATTATAAAAACTTCCAGATTTTGAGGACCAATTTTTAAAAAACTTTGGAAGTTATAAAATAAAGTCATAGCTATTTGGAATTTGTCAATTCTTAAGAAACTTTAATGCAGGACACCTATGGATCAAGAAGCTCTATAATTTAAATATCTGATGTAAGAACATTTTTTTAAAGAGAAAATACTTATTTTCCAAAAACCTTCAATTCAATAAATAACAAAGAGAGAAGGGGAACATATGAAGCAAAATAAATAATTAAACCTGATATTAAGACCAAGGAACTTAAGAATAAGAAGCAAACTGCTTACGTACTATCCTCTCATATCAGCCCAAGATTCTTAGGAAGTAAAGCTGAAAAGATGGAAATCTATCATCATCTCTTTCTCTTTTACCTTACTGTTTTGATGGTTAGGGGTGGGTATGTGTGAACAGTGGTGAAAGGGGCAAAACTAACATTTGTTTGTGCCTACTATGCTGTGTGCCTACAGACACTACACATCTATTATTAGACTTAGTAGTCTAATGATTTGTGCACCAGTGGGGTCCCTCAGCCTGGCCTGTGGGATCCGGCTGAAGCTGGTTCTCCGACATTCCCCGAGGTCCCAGATTGCAAGAGGGCGCAGGCCAGGCAGAGGGACCCCACCAGTGCACGATCAGGGCTGGGGAGGGATGCGGGAGGTTGGCCAGCAGAGAGGGACCACGGGAGGGCTCCAGGGCATGCCTGGCCCGTCTTGCTCAGTCCCAATCGGCCGGACCCCAGCAGCAAGCTAACCTACCAGTCAGCATCTGCCCTTTGATGGTCAGTGCACATCATAGTAACTGGACAATCAGTCGACTATCTGCCCCCCTGGTGGACAGTGCACGTCATAGCGAGCGGTTGAGCAACCTTAGCATATCATTAGCATATTACATTTTGATTGGTTGAAAGGACGACGGGACAACCAGACACAGCATATTAGGCTTTTATTATATAAGATTCCTCACAACTAATCTACTTGCAGATGAAGTTCAACTGACCGGCTAGAGGTCACCTGGTTTTCATTCCAGAACTACCTAAGCACCCTTTCTAAACACTACATTGCCTTAGTTTTCCTGGTTGTGTAAAAAATTTTAATTGCTTATTAGCATAATTTTCCAGTTTTCTTCTTTCCATTATTCCATCCAATGATTGTTCTTTCTCACATGAGATTAGCCTTCACACCCTGATCCATCGCTTAGAAGCTAAGGGAAACAGACTCCTCCTAGTGCCTAACATTCTCACAACTGGGAGCTTTTTGACAATTTCCTTATTTATACAATTTAAAAACCCCATTTTTTATTTTTAATGGTGAACTTAGAAAAACTGTTGAATATTTAAATTATTTAAGTGATTATTTTAATATAACCTTGTACTAGCAACATATCTTAACTTTTCTCACCACAATACTCTAATAGCACAGGGGAATAAATACGTGCCAAGCAGTCAAAATACATGAGAGATTTCATTCAAGTCTTGCATTGTATCTTAGTGATTCATAAATTGTACATTTTATTCCACTTAATAGCTTTTATTTTAGCCACCCTCCCCCCTTTAGATTCTAAACATTAACAATCTGGAGAATATCGCATGTTTATTTTACAGTGTCTCAGATAGCACTTGTGGTACTACTGGTAGTACGAGATTCTATTCTCTGAGAAAAATGGTAAAATGGTCTTGAGCACAGTCCTATGAAATGGTAAAATGTGGATAATAAAGCTTTATATCAATATACTACATTTCAATAATTGACAGATTTTTAAAGTAATTATTGTGTTCCAATATTATAAAAGTGAAAAATCAGTTTTTCCACTAATAAGGAAAGGAAAGTATATGGGCTTTATATAAAAGTTAATACATTTTAAATTATTGGGCTCTAATACTGATCTAATCTTACTTGTCAAATTTATGTAAGTGTTCTTAACTGTTCAGTCCTTCTACCCTATCCCAAGCTTATGGAACAGGTACTTAAAGAAAAATTTCATTTTTGTTTTTAGGAAATATAAAATGCAGGAGCCATGGTATAAAGTGAAAATTACCTTGTTTTTCTATAACTGAGTATGAAGCCAAAAATCCTCGTCCAGAAACATGGATTCCACTCATGAACAGCACTGTAATTTCATTGCTTTTTGATTCAATTGAATGGTTCATCTGCAATCCCAGACCACAGTATTTGCCTAGGAATGAAGAAAAGCAGATCTTTGTTGTGACTCTTATGAAGTCAATAATATTTACCATGTAGATAATAGAATCAGAATAATATACCAAACTCTGCATGTTAAATAAAATGATAAGTAGGATGTTTAGTGATTAAAAATCCCATTACTCTGGTTGGAAAAAGAAAAAAGTCAAGTAATAACTTCAAATGATGCAAAAGAAAAAAACAGTACAAGCATTACTGGCCTTTTGAAGAGTCAATTTCCTGTGAAATACATGTGTATACTCTTTAAAAGAATAACCAGGAATTTTTTTTTTTTTAAATATATTTTATTGATTTTTTACAGAGAGGAAGGGAGAGAGATAGAGAGTTAGAAACATCGATGAGAGAGAAACATCGATCAGCCGCCTCCTGCACATCTCCTACTGGGGATATGCCCGCAACCCAGGTACATGCCCTTGACCGGAATCGAACCTGGGACCTTTCAGTCCGCAGGCCGACGCTCTATCCACTGAGCCAAACCGGTTTCGGCACCAGGAATTTTTAAACAATGAAAGCATTGCAGGCAGGCAGGTGGCCCACAAATAAACTGACAGTCAATCAGTAAACCCACAGGAGCCCCAAGATTCCTGGCCTCAGGACACCACCTCTCAAACCTTTTATGAACCTTCTCAATTTTTCTGCCAAGGCCTGTGGAACTTCTGGTCAACCCCTTTAGGTGATCATTCATATTAAAATAGAAAAACTCAATTCAGTCTATAACTTTTCAATTTTTTTAGCATTTAATAAGTTAATACAAAACATCAAGGTAAACATGCACTTTTCTTAGATGCTATCGTTTTCAATATAAAATATGTCTTGCTCATCTGTACAAAAAAAACAAAAAACACACACCACCTTCTATTTCTAAATATGGAATGTAATTTTAGCTATCAATATTTTTAACATTTAAGCAAAATTACAAGTTATATAAATAAGATGATAACATCTTCAGACTTGTTTTTTAATACCAAGTAACTCAGAAATAGTCTAGTAAAGAGGATAAATATTAAATATTGTATTGCTTTTGAACATAAAATATTCAAAAGTAGAGTAATATATATTTCACATTATTCTAAATATCTCAAAGCTATATAATTTGTTAGCAACCCCAACTATGTATGTGCAGAACCAGTGCCCATCACATTAAATCTTAAAGCCCAAAGGGAATAGTTAAGGCAAGAGAAATTATGGTCACTAGTATCTTTACACAAGATTAATTTTTGTAAAAGTGAATAACAGTTTGATCTGGGCCCATCAGTACTAGCTGTTCTTTGCCATGTAAGGATACATGTAGGTGTGATTTTATTACAAGCCTGATTAAGATGCTCAGTATAAATACTGACTTTACAGATCCTTTCAGGTACAAAGGGAAAAGATCCTTTTTAAAGAATACCTAACATTCCATACAATGATGTCTTCATAAAAAGTATATTATTAAAGTGAAACAATGTGCAAAAAAATAGTTTTAACCCTTTTTATATGGACAGAACCCCAAAAGTATTTTTTATTAGCACGGAAGTTTCATCTTTTGTCTATCTGTTTGTTTATCTGGACTTATCTTGTCCTCTAAAATGTGAGTAAATTTAATCTGTGGTAGAAACAAAACATTTTTTAAAAATCACTTACGTTCTGTGAAACTCAAAAGGCAATGCTGAAGAATGGATAACCACAATTTAAAAAAACAGAAGAAAGAAAAAAGAAAAGTACAATAGCTGACCTTATAAGTGCTTAAATGAGTTCAAATATACAAGAAGCACCTGCCTTCACCTGCTATTCCCAGCCAAGGTGACCCTCCTTCTCCTCACTTGGCTCTCCTTTGACCACCGGCTTTACCCGCTGTACAAGTAATGCAAAGAACTTGGCAAAGCACTCTGGGAAAGGAAGAAGAAAAACCATTCCTAATCTGGGCAACATAGTTGTTAATTCTTTAATGCCATTTCCCTAGTTTGGCCAAAGGTACTCCTAAATCAAAATAAAGTATTTAACTGCCAACAATTATAAGTTCTGCTGATGGCTCTTAAAGTCACAGAAATTGCTATAGTTTCTCATGATTAAATAAGAAAGGTATTTGAAAAAATATTTTGTGAATATATAGAGGACATTAAAATATAAAAGTTAAAATTATTAATCACCATAACAACCATGAAACACTGGTTTTTAATATAAAAGAACCCATGTTCTAGGAAAATAAAAGTGCTTAAAAGTTATTAGCCTTTAGGAAACTAGGAAAAGAAACCAAAAGCAGGTTATTTGAAAAAACAAACAAAAAACACACAAACAACAACAAAGAAAACAACCTACTAAGACTCTAGTAAGTCTAAATAAGAAAAAGAGAAGACAAAATCACTAATATCCGTAATGAAGGTGGGGACAGATCCTTACAGATCCCATGGACATCAAAAGGATAATAAAGACATACTATGAACAACTCTACGTCCAAAAATTGGATAATCTTGATAAAATGGACAGGTTCCTTGAAAGACACAATTTGCCAAAACTCAAACAAAAAGAAACAAACAATCTGAATAGGCCTATATCTAGGCTATTAAATCAATAATTAATAATACTTCAAAAGAAAAAGCACCTGACACAAATGGGTTCACTGGTAAATTTCACCAAACATTTAAGGACAAAGACATTACAAGAAAACTACAGACCAATGTTTCTCATAAAAATAGATGCAAAAATACTTAATAAAGTATTAGCAAATCAAATCCACAGTGGTCTAGGTATACCGGTTAATAATGCGGATTTTTTTCAATAGATGGAGTTACACATATGTTGATATATATGTGATATGATATGTATGCTATTTTGTTGTATTGACAGCAAGCTTCAAAACTTCATGTCAAATTTGCTGAAGGTGTTAACATCATAGATATTTTTATGTTTAAAAATGTTGAATTTCGTGCCCAAAAAAAGAGCACTTGCGGGAAGTTTTAATTCATTACTTTATTTTGAAGAAAAGTGCTGCTGGAAGTTATTGCATACTTCGGGAAGCTTATGGTGAACATGCTCCATCTCAAGATACTTGTGAACACTGGTTTAAATGGGCTAAAAGTAATGATTTCGATGTGAAAGACAAAGAACGTCCAGGTCAACCGAAAAAGTTTGAAGATCAACAATTGCAAGCATTATGGGATGAAGATGCATGTCAAACTAAAAAACAATTTGCAGAAAGATTAAACGTTGCTCAACAAATAATTTCCAATCATTTACAAGCAATGGGAATGATTTTAAAGGAAGGGAAATGGGTGGCACATCAACTGACCGAAAGACAAATGGAAAACCGAAAAGTCATCAGGAAAATGTTGCTTCAACAGCACGAGAGAAAGTCTTTTTTGCATCGAATTGTGACTGACGATGAAAAGTGGGTTTATTTTGAGAATCCCAAATGCACAAAATCATGGGTTGATCTAGGTCAACCATCAACATTGACTGCAAGGCCACATCGCTTCGGAAAGGAGACAATATTCTGCGTTTGGTGCGATCAGGAAGGTGTGCTGCATTATGAGCTTCTAAAACCAGGTGAAACCGTTAATACTGATCACTGCCGACAACAGATAATCAATTTGAACCACACTTTGATTGTAAGATGACCAGAATGGGCCAGAAGACACAGCAAAGTAATTCTGCTTCAAGATGACGCACCATCACACACTTCAAAACCAGTTAAAGACACATTAAAGACCTTGCCTGGGAAGTATTAACCCACCTGCTGTATTCACCAGACCTTGTTCCTTCAGATTACCACTTGTTCCAATCAATGGCACACGCACTTTCTGAGAAGCACTTCAAAATGTACAAGGGAGTGGAAAATTGTGTCTCTGAATGGTTTGCCTCAAAACAAGAAAAGTTCTTGGGACGCAGGGTGTCCCTCAGCCTGGCCTGCGCCCTCTCCAATCTGGGACTCCTCAGGGGATGTCCGACTGCCAGACATCCCTCTCGCAATCTGGGACTGCTGGCTCCTAACTGCTAACCTGCCTGCCTGCCTGATTGCCCCTAACCACTCTGCATTCCGTCCTGATCGCCCCCAACTGCCCCCCCCCCCCCCGCCTATATGCTCACCCCCAACTTCCCCCTCCTGCCAGCCTGCTCACCTCCAACTGCCTTCCCCTGCCAGCCGGGCTGAGGGACACCCTGCCCCCATAGAATTACCTGAAAGATGGAAGAATTGTGTAGCTAGCGATGGACATTACTTTGAATAAAGCACTTTTGATGTTTCTCTTGAAATTATTGTTTTCTTTGATTACAAAATCCGCATTATTATCCGGTACACCATTCCACAATGATGTCATTATACATTTGTTCAAATCCATGGAATGTGCAACAACAACAAAAAATTTAGCCATTAGGAAATGCAAATCAAATTCATAATGAGATTCCACTTTACAGCCACTAGGATGGCTAGAATAAAAAAGATAGATAGCAAGGATATTGAAAAATTGGAACCCTCATACAATGCTTGTGGGATTGTAAAATGGTGCAATCGCGTTTGAGAACAGCCTGGCAGTTCTTCAAAAGGTTAAACGTATAATTAGTTATCATATGACCCAGTAATTCTACTCCTAGGCATCTATACTAATAAAAGGGAAATATGCTAATTAGACTGGGAGACCTTCCGGACATCCTTCTGGACAAAGCCATGGTGGCAGGGCTGAAGCAGAGGCGGTTAGGGGCGATCAAGCCGGCAGGAGAGGGCAGTTGGGGGCGATCAGGATGGCAGGGGAAGGCAGTTGGAGGTGAGGAGGCCGGCAGGAGGGGGAAGTTGGAGGTGAGCATATAGGCGGGGGGGGGGGGGAGTTGGGGGCGATCAGGACGGAATGCAGAGTGGTTAGGGGCAATCAGGCAGGTTAGCAGTTAGGAGCCAGCAGTCCCGGATTGCGAGAGGGATGTCCGGCAGTCGGACATCCCTTGAGGAGTCCCAGATTGGAGAGGGCGCAGGCCAGGCTGAGGGACACCCTGCCCCCATGCATG